CCAATGGCCAAAAGCAGAACACACACTCTCGAAAACATGTTAAATATTTCGTTTAGTTTTTCTGGTAGATGGTTAACACGATTTTTGATTCGTTTGCTATGAACGTCGGATTCGTTATTGAGGTAAGGTGGCAAGCGACATCAGCATTTATAGGTCTGCTGCTCAAGTGTTGTTGTTCTACTACTCCAGAGATACGGCCGACATGTTATGGCCAAGATATTACCTTAGATTTGGCACTTAAGCTATTACGCCTTATCAATGCCAGTTGACATTATCGGTCTTATCATCTGTTGCCACAGCTCCGGCAGCGGGAAAAACATTTCCCATGAAACAATTAAACAGTTGCCGACGATCCCCCAATCGCGTCACTCTAATCTTTGAAATCATTGTGGTTCCCGAGAACGCAAATATAAAGCCTAAGTTATATTTACACAAGCACAAAGAGTTTTGTGCAAATCACAAACCATTTCTAAGACATTTGACATAATTTCTATGATTTCCCGAACATTTATGTTTGCTGTTAAGGGCTTGTGTCCTGTCCATCATTTTGATATACATACTATTTTTAGCTCCAGTCCAGTGTATATCTATCAAGTGTTTATTCTAGTGAAATATATCTGACAGTCAAAAAACTTTTCGTTGTCCACTTAATGTATGTAGCGCTCCTCTTAGGCCCGATGTTGATAAGGTTCAGGAACGTCATCGGCCTTTGCCATTGGTCAGCTCCACTTATCAGATACGAACACACATAATCTTAGATAGGTAACCATTGTATTGCACGAACACAATTATTAAGCAAATATTTAACCATTAACTGTTTTTGAAATTAATTTAAACTTACATATATGTATATATTCTGATTTCCTAGTATTTGCCTGTGATGCTTAACATTGTGAGGGTCATGGATCGATCGAATCGAATATAAGTCAATCAAAACAGTTTACATAGAAATTAGGTAAAGCGAAGGACGCGCAAGTCGTTGTAGAAATCTTGGGTATATCGAAATATGTACTCTCAGGGGATTGATAGTTGATTGATTGATTGAAGCATTTGAGAGATTCAAACTTTTAAAACAGACTTTAAAATAAATTGTTTTTAACGATAATCTATTTCAATACATAGAGTCTTCATTAGATCGAATTAATTTTTCTATATATCAGTTCGACAGGAATATATTAAACTCATAGCAAATTCTGCAAATGCATTTAATAGGCTAATAACTTCATGGGATGTAGACTATAAATATGTCAAGAAAATACATTGATCGCCTAAGATATAACATTATTATTATTATTGATTTTATTATTATTANGAGTCAGTGTTCTGGCTGCAAGTGTCCAGAGCCTTGCAGGCCGATGTTGCCGATCCGTCGATCTGAGCGCGCTCATCCTTGGTGCTCTCATCGATGCCCGCACGGGATGCGTCGGCATCGGACAAGCACTTAGCATAGGCGGCCTGGAAGTTCTCATTGACCTGGTTGAATAGAGGCAGATACTCATTGAAGCAGGAAAGGGTACGTTGGGGATCGCTCTGCTTGGCTTCGCTGGAACGCATCATGAGCATCATCATCGGCGACTCGGGCAGCAGGGGCAGGCGCACAGCCTGGCTCAGGCCAATGGCCAAAAGCAGAACACACACTCTCGAAAACATGTTAAATATTTCGTTTAGTTTTTCTGGTAGATGGTTAACTCGATTATTGCTTCGGAACGTCGGATTCGTAACTGAGGGAATGTGAAAAGCGACATAAGCATTTTATTTTTAATTTGGGCTCTATCACTTAAAGCATTATGCCTTATCAATATCAGGCTTATCGGTCTTATAATCGGCTGCCGTGTGACTCTAATCTCTGAAATCATTGTGCTTCCCGAGAATACAAATAGAAAGCATAAATTATATTTTTACAAGCACAAAGAGTTTTGGGCAAATCACAAACCATTTCTAAAACAATTGACGTAATTTCTATGATTTCCCGAACATTTATGTTTGCTGTTAAGGGCTTGTGTCCTGTCTATCATTTGTATATATTATTTTAGCCCCAGTCCTGTGTATATTATTTTATATACATATAACCGGTTTTTTTTCTAGTGAAATGTATCCGACAGTCAAAAAACTTTTCATTGACCACTTAATGAAGGTAGCACTGCTTTTGGGCTCAATATTGATAGGGTTCAGGAACGTCATCCGCCTTTGTAATTGGTCAGCTCGACTTATCAGATACGCACACATATAATCTTAGATAAGCCCGAACACAATTATTAAGTAAATATTTAGTCTTGCACTTGACATTCTTAACTATTTTTGAAATTAATTTACACTTACATGTATTTATTTTGATTTTCTAGTATTTTTCTGTCCATATTGTGCACATTATGAGGGTCATTGATCGTTCTTTTTAGACCCAGTGGGAATGTAATCTATATTCGTGTCGTCTTCAGTCGCTTATCATGCCACGTGCTGTACTCCAGCTATCGTAAACTACAAAATTGTGGCATAGCACACAAATCGATGGTCAGAGCGTTTTGTGATTCACAGATTGAGTAATCTATTAAATGAAATATATATTGCAATTATTTATGGCAGGTCGTTTCCTTGGCGAGCACTTTTCGCTTTTGTTCCTGGGAATCACGCGAGCTGTTCGCAGTCTCAGTTACATTTTCAATTGTGGCGAACGTCTTGGGTAATGCAGGAACAATGCACAGAATTTTATTAACTCGATTTAGTTTTACAGCCATTCTTTTATAGCCACATATAATTGAAGAATTTTGCAGGTCGTCAAAAATATTACAGCAGTTGCTAAGTCGCTTTGTGGAGGCATTATGGAATTGTGGGCAATTGGTAGATATCAGTAGGACTATCAAAGTTGGGCGAGGTGAGAGCAAAGTAAGTGACCTACATATGTAAAGATATGAAATGTTTATAAATAGTTGATGAGAAGCTCAATCTGTTGTACGTCAACAAAGATATTGCGTATGAATCAGTTAGAGAGAGATTGATGCATAGAAATTAGGTAAAGCGAAGGCAGTACAAGTTGTTAGACAAATCCAGTATATATTGGAATATGTAGTCTCCGGGGATTGATAATTGGAGATCGAATTACTTTTTTTATGATTCAGCCTAAGCAATTCACAATTTTAAGGCCAAAAAATATTTCCAGTCTTCCTAAAATCTTAAATTTATACCGCAAATGAATCAAAAAATCTATTCAGGTGAGCCAAAATGAATACGCATTTATGCTATAAATGTTTTCCTAGCTATATAAGTGTTTCTATATAACCATTCAATAGATAAATCCTACCGAGTATTGTCATAAAATCAAACCCATTTAATTGAACAAAACCTGTCTATGAGCCTCTTTTCAGAAACTTTACAAAGATAATGAAATTACTCACATTTTGAGGGTTCAGTTCAGATATTGAATTAACTTGAAGCTAGTAAAGGCGCATAGCTAGGCAAAGCTCGACAGGAATGCACTGAACTCAAAGCAAATGCTGCAAAGGCATTTCATAGTTGAATAATTTCTGGCTTCATGGAGTACAGACTATGGATATGCCAAGAAAATGCATTGATTGGCTAAGACATAATACTCTAGCATTCACAGATCTGATTTTCGGTTTCCATATTCCCTAAATTTCAATCTTAGTGAATCGTATTTTAATTATTTGCAGTGTCTTTAAGGTTTTTGTATGTGCAAGCGAATTAATAATGGAGTGCAGCTAAATATCAAGCAGCGCCGCTCACCTGCTGTGCACCTGCTGAGCACACACACTCGCACACACACACACACACATACATATAAAGCGTTGCTGCTAATTTGCATATCTTAATTGCGTTCTTTGTGCAAAAGCATTTTCAACGAGCCAGGCAAACATAGCTCGAACTGCATTAACATTTCCTACACACACACATACACACAAATAATGTGAAAAGAGCAGCTAGGCAACGATTTAAATCAGCCGCCAGCTGCAGCCTGTGGCAAGGACACGCGGCACTGTCGCCAGTTATTGGCTTCATTTTGGAGGGGCACTACTGCGTGTACTCTTGCTCCCTCTCTCTCTCTCTCTCTCTCTTTCCCCTCACTCTCACCCTCTCTGCGTGTGTGTGGCTACATTTCTAATTTGTTCTAATTGCAGTGACAACAATGCCGCAGGCAACAACAATCAACAGCCAAAGCCAAAGTCAATGCTGCAAAGCAAATGCAATTAAATTTAAATGAAAAACACCCTTGAGCCAAAAGATAGCAACTGTTTATTTAACCGTTAAATGCTAAGACTTAAAGCCTTTAATTGCCATTCAATTTATGTTTCATGACCAGCCCAAAATCATGATTATCTTTGATCAGGTCGGCACTATGAAAAGCATTTCAAATGCCATACGGTAATTGCAGAAACTTTGTCTAGATGCAGGAATATGCAAATTATATTTTACAATACCCTGTACTCAGAGCGGATCAAATGGTATTACAGAGCACCGCTAGAGTAATGATTGATAGACTGATATGATTTGATAGAGCGATATTTATATATTTCTTATCAAATCTCTGAACTCTGATTAGATTTTCTCTCTACTCCCAACTTTATAAAGTTTTTACTTAATTATTGTTATATCAATATAAGTGTGTAAAATAAAAAAAAATAAAAAGTACGCTAAATGTTATATATAAATAATAAACAAAAAATTCCTCATCTGACTATATATTATATATATACAATATATAAGCATGTATTAAAGTTAATAATGATTTTTATTCATATCTTTAATTTTTAATTTAAAGAGAATCTATTTATTTATCATTAAATTTTATAAAATCTATTATTTTTGTTTTTTTTTTTTTTTTCTACTGAATAATAATATATCATTAAGGTTTTGTTATATGCTCTTTTATATTGAATACAAACATTCACCAATTCAGTTTACAATACGGAAAATATATATTAAAATACTTTTGATATGCTGGCACTTCGCTTGAAGCAGTTAACAGGGCATCTGGTAAGTCGGTCAGGCGCATCAGTCCAAACTAGTTAACATCTACAAGCGTTAATTATGTAAGTTACACTGGCAGAGTTGCAATTGGCTTAGCTGAACTTTTCCATTGCGACTGTCGCCTGATCCGTGTGGACTCTGTCAATATTTGGCCAACATTTCCATAAAATTGCTTTTACTTTACTTTCCCTTTTACTGTTACTTTTGCTGTGACCAAGCAACGAACCGAACCCAACCCAGCCCATCCACGCCAAAGAGATTACAAAAGTTTTGCAACTTCAATGTTAGCGAGGGTTTGTCAGCTCGTTACCTATTTAATGCAGTACATAAACCATGTTGTCTAGTGTAGCAGCGAGTGCAGCAGTTTCTTAAGATCTGAGCTGAGGCTGGGCGCGGCCGAAGCTGTTGGCTTGACTGTAGCTAAAGCCGATGTCATTGAGAGGGGAACTGGAAGTGTTGTGCTGATAAGAGATGCTGTTGTGGAATCGAGTGGAACTGGTGGTGTGGTATGGGAACTGGAACTGGAACTGGGAGTGGAACTGGAAGTGGGAGTGGATGTGAAGTCTGTTGTCTTTGTTACTGATTCAGGTGTTGTTGTCAACGGAACTGGCGCTGTAGTGGGCCTTATACTTGAAATGGGTCTTCTGGAAGTTGAAGTTGTTGCAATTGTAGTGCTTTTTGAAACTGGAATCGAACTGGTCGTGTAAGCACCTGTTGTAGTTGTTGTAACTGGAATATCGGTTGTTGTTGTTGTAGTTTTTGGCACTTTTGATGAACGAGCGGTGGTGCTTGGAACGGGCGTTGTCGTTGTAATCACCGGAGACGAACTAGTATCGGCCGTGCTACTTCCCGCTGTGCTTGGAACTGGCGTAGTTGTTGTGGTTACTGGAGATGCACTCGTTCCAACCGTAGTGGTACTTGGCACCGGCTCTGTGCCCATTAAACAGGCTTGCAGCCTGACATAGGTCTGCTCCGTGTCAACCTCATATGCACGTCTCGCCTCATTCGAGCACTCTTCGAGCTGGTACTCGATCACCTGCTTCTTCTGATTGAACTCGCCGTTATACTGGCTGGCTGAGCCCGAAATGTTGTACATAACTTTGGCATCTTCAGTGCCCTGTGAAGGATGTTTGTAAATGCATAAAAAATATCAAATATACATATATAATATAATCATAGAATAATAATTCTTGTTCACTTTGAGCCCACTTACCACCTGTGCGTAACAGGCTAGAGCTGAAGCGGTATCAGTTAGATTATCGCAGTTTTGAATCAGTTGGCAAGCGGACTGAGCATTGTTGCTCAAGCCGGACAGTTTCGACTCGTACAGCCAATCGAGAGTCGCAAGCTGAGTTTCGCTGGCATTTTCGCAGGCTTGATACTGCTCCTCGTACTGCTGCAGCAGCTGATCGAAGACCTCGCTGTAGTACTGAAAACACTCTATAGAGCGAGCCGGATTGCTTTGCTGCAGTGCGTTGGTGCTGCGCATCGCCTGCAGCAGTTTCGATTCACCGAGCGATTGGCTGGGTCCTGCGCATACAGCGGCCGCCAGACAGGCCAACATCGTTAACAAAAACATTTTCATTTCGTTTCGATATTCGAATGATATCTAATTAGCTTATTCTTTCATATGTGCTTATGGCACGGTCGTAAAATGCGTACTTTGGTGGCCAAGAAATTGTGGTTCACCTTTTATAGGCGGCACAAGTAGTGGATGTCAAAAGTAAATGAAATTTGTGAAAAGCCATCGGTCTTAAGCCTCTGACAAACTGATATGATATAAATATTCGATTACCCTACTTGCCAAAGTTGTTTGGGTCTCTTTCGACGTTTTATGCATAGATTAGTTCTATGCTCGCACTACTTGAATGTCTTATCAAAAATGATAATTTGACAGACAATACGTCAACATATGTTGAACATGCGAGTTATGTTTATGTGTATAATACAATAATAATAATAATAATATAATACAAGATAATTAAGGTGCTTCAAGATTAACTACGAGTTGATTCTAGATTAAATAATAAGCTCAAGTCTTTTTTAGTAAAAATAGTTTATTTATTTATATATTTTTTTGTAGATTTCTCAGAATTTCCTCAACTATCTGTCTGTGTGTCTTGTTTCCTTTATTTTATAGCGTAGCGCATCGCCGGTGCTGGCCATCTCAATTGAATTTCTATCGATATCAATTTGATTTAATTTAAATGCCATTTTATCGTAGAATAGATTGTTTTTGCTAAGCCATTCGATACATTTATCAGGCATTAACAATTGCGCAACAAATAACTGAAATGCGGCTGGTGAACCCTCGAACTCGAGGGGCTGACTAAGCACTCGAAACGTTTCCGTTTCTTATCTGGGAAGAAATTATCTTTTAGCTGAAATAAAAAATCAAATAAAAACAATGCAACCATAGATTGTGCAATTATTGAAAATTTCCGAAGAATTAGCAATATAAAATCAAATTCTGCAGAATAAACTTCAAAACATATGATAGACAAAGGGGAACCAGAATTTACAATTTGTAATAAACGCAATAGCCTCAAAGGGGAAATTATGTGGGAGTGCTGCACATAGATAACTTCGCCGGGTGAAAACCCACTAAATGACAAGATGTAACATAAAAAAAAAAAAATACTAAATTCTGAAATATAATCTCTTTAATGTATA